ATAAGTCCTTACATTTTAATACATATAGAAGAAAAATACCCAGAAGTGATGCTGTAAAGATGACATTATGAGTAAATTATTTTCCATGCAAATATGAGAACTTGATTTCAAACAACTGATTCAGAATAAAGTAAGTACTCCTCTCGCAAAGTGAGAAGTAAAAATGAAAGAATCCTCATTACTTGCAGGCCTGTAACCCAGTAAATATGGTGGCAGACAGTCACAGGTTCAAGCACATATATCAGATACATTTCCATGTACATCACATGTTTGCACTTGGGCACATACAAATACACACATACACAAAAGCAACAGCAACAACAACAACAACTCCAAAGTATGATTAAATGAAGCATGATTGATGAAAACTAGGGTTAGCAATTAGAGTTCAACCTGAAGATCGAAAAGGAAAATAGTCAGCCCACTGCCTCTTACCCCGACCTCTGTCTGAAATGGTGTTCCTGCCTTCCAGAATCTCAGAATGAGACTGTTTCTATGAGCTGTCTTGCCCCATCTTATATTCCGTTCTAGGACTGGTGTTAAAGATAATTTCTATGGCAACTAGTATGGTTTTTTGGATTAAAGGTGAGTGTCATTAGGGTACTGGGATTAAAGACGTGTGTTACCATAGCCAAGTCTATAAGGCTGACCAGTAGCACTGTTTTACTCTCAGATCTTCAGGCAGTCTTTATTTACTAAAATCCAGTTGAAATGTCACTACACAACACTAAAGAAATAGGCAGTTCATAGAGTTCTTCTACAGAAGGGAGATACTGGCAGTCAAATTAACTCCCTGCCTCTCTGTTTCTCCCTTGTGAATGAACCTCCCTTGGTTTTTTGTTGCTACTGTTCTGTTTTTGTTGTTGTTGTTGTTGTTTTATTTGTTTGTATCTTTTTTCCCCCTTTGGTTGGTATTTTTTTTTCCATTGGTGGTTTTTCGTTTGTTTGTTTGTTTTTTTGTTCCACAATAGGATTCCAAAGTCCCAAGCTAGGAAATAATATAGGGAACAGTAAGAATTGAAACACTGCTTGAAGTTGCACTACTCTGAAGACAGTTTTTCCTACTCTATACTTGAACTTGAAACTGTCTTCAATGTCTCAGAATATGCAACACTGCCTTTTGAACTAGGTATAGAATATTTGACACCTTAATCAAAATTTTAGGTGATTTGACAAGTCAAAATTCAAATGTTATATGAACAACCTCATGCATGTAGTTAAAGAAATTATAATTTTTAATTAAAACAAAAATTCATTAGTTAAAACTGCTATTTGCATTTCATAGCTGCTGTTAGAGGAAGAGTCTGTTTTGTTTAATAATATGGCCCCTGATAAACGGAGAGGACACCAAAAGAAACTTTAATCCAAAAACTTGCTGGGCAACCCAAATGGAAGTCTACGGAGAAAGAGAAGTAGAAGTAATCTCAAAGTTAACTTAAAGAGTGTTCTTTAAGTAACTTAAAGAGGGTTCAGTGTGCACTGAGGGAATGGATAAAACTGTGGAACCATCATCAGAATACATCAAGCAAAATTCTCAAAGAGTTACAAGATATTTAATAATATTAGGGATATTATTAACTAATAATAATAATAATAATAATAATAATAATAATTCCAGGCTTATGTAGTGTGAATTCTAGTAGATCTTAATAATAAAATTCTAGAGATATTAGGGAGTAAAATTCTAGAGATATTAGGGAGTGAAAGCTGAAAGATCAGAGAAGCAGTGCAGCCTCTAGAGATACCTTTTACCTCTATTGATGCTCGAACCAAAGCGGCAATCCTGTCCTCAGACTGACTGCTTCAGACTGCTACCTCAGACTGCGTTTGTCTCTACCAAACCTCAGACTGCACTGAACTCCTGTCTCCTTTGACCTTATATTACTCTCTCTCTGCCCAGCTATATCACTCCTGTCTCTACCTCCCTAGTGTGGGGATTAAAGGCGTGTGATCCCAAGTACTTGGATCACTTTAGTGTGAGCTCTGTTTCTCTTTTATATTGGTTCAGTTTCACGTAGCCGAGGGTAGCCATGAGATAACAGAGATTCAACTGCCTCTGTCTCCAGAGTATTGGGATTGAAGATGTGCGCCATGACTACTTAGCTCTGCATCCTGATCTTCAGGCAAATTTTATTTGTTAAACCGTAAACAAAATATCTCCATAGGGTTAAGATCAGGTAAAATGCTATTAAATGAATGTGGACATATTTACATAGTGAGAGTAATAAATTTCAATGACTTCATATAAATACTGAAACAAAGTATTGAGAATGTGCCATAGTATCATATCAAATAGATATTGCTATAGTATTGAGTCTCTATGAAATATCATTTTAGTTGAATATTATCCTGCCAAATATGATATTATCACTTAAAGTAAATATAAACTATAACAAACTGTAGGAAGTAACATCAAAGTGGCCCATGGGATAGATTTATTTTCGTGGAAATGGAAGATGTCTGATAGACAGACATATCACTCAAAATTCTTAGATTAACAATTCATTATCGTCATTCATGAGAAAATTTTCAATTTTTCAGTAGTCTTCAGAGAAACTTATATTTACACTTGAGCTGTTTTCATTAATTAAAATTACATTTCTTAGTTATTCAATACATATATATATATCACTAAATAGACAATCACTTTTGATGTATACATATTATACTACTACATAATGTATACTATTTTGTAACACTATGAGTACAGAGAATTCTCATCTACTTAAGCCATGCATTTATTTACATTTTGACCTGTTAGAAATTACCTTCATCTTTTTGTTGTTGTTGCTCTGACTTCTGTTTCTACAATTCTAATGTAGCATTTATGCTGTAACAGAGGTCTTTCTTAGAAAATATTCTGTACAAGGAAGTTTTAACAAGGAAGTCCAGATGGCAGTTAATCTCACAGCCCTGTTATTGCAAAGCCCTGGATGAATATGGCTCTGAGAAGACATAGGGGAAAAAAGGTTGCTATAAATGTGTCAAGATTAGGTAATATATCACCTTTTGGAGCACTAATTAATTAGAAATAATTCATGATTGTTAGGATCTAGAACATCAGAGAGACAATGGACACCTGAGGCCAATCCATCACACTGAAGAACAGTCAAGATGGAGATCGACTAACTCTTCAGGATCAAAATGACTTCCTTCACTCTTTGGCTAAGGGTCAATTTCTGAAAGAAAGTTTAATCTCTAGGGAATAGCATGCCTATAGGGTACACCTCTTAAGAACAGATGTTTAGAACTAGAATGTAGAAAATCAAATATCTTACATTTTCCATCTACAGTATAAAATCTTACAGCTAACTTTTAAGACAGCATGCTTCAAAATGAGAAAATTCATGTGGCATTGAGGAAAGAATTGCAACAGCTATTAATCCCTTTTTATAATCGTGTAACTACGTGAAACAAATGAAGAAGGCCCTTTCCCTTGTTCAGATTGCAAACACATGTGAAAGAGTGAAGTCACATACCCAGACAGATCTGCATGTCCATGAAGGCCTAGCAAAATCGTGGACTATAGCATCATGTGACTTGGCACTTATTTTATTCAAATAGTGGGAAGTGCTTTGAGAACATTATAGAATGCCTTAACAAGAGGAGCGACAAGAAGATAATATGGAATTCTCATGATCCACTTGGTACTTTCTTCAGTTGAATTCTGTTAAGAGTAGCAACAACTCATGCACCCAAGGGAGGCCCTACCCCCTCCGAGGAGGGGATGTGGGTTGGAATGGGGGTTGGGGGAGACTGGAGGCAGAATGGGGAGGACAACTGGGCTTGTATGTAAAATGAAAAAAAAAAATAAATGGAAGAGGGGCAACAGCACTGAAAGGAATGTTGATGATTCTCATTTTGTACATAGAAAAGTTAAGAAAAGGTTATTTTATCATTTGATATGATGTTGCTAACATGAGGCTGCAAGAAATCTTAACCCCAAAGTGTAGCCACGTTGCTTACACTTTTCCTTTTTTACATTAAATTATCCGTAAATGAACCCAACCCAGTGTGGTGAAGTTTGCTGCAGTAATATATGCAGGCTCTGATCAAAGAGTCAGACTTCCCATTGGATACAGAACTGGCATTAACCCAGGCCAAATATTGTAAAGAAGACAAATGTCTTTTGGAAACAGTCATTCTAAAGTCAAAAGATCAAACTTAAAAGGTTTAAATTCCCTTGGCAACCTAATACAAGATACTGTTGTCAACAACAAGATATTAGAATAATGGATTATCTTAAAAATGTTTGTGTACAAATTACTGATTGATAAAAATACCAATAAAAATAAAATGTAATTTTATTTCTCAGAGATTGACACATTTATATACAATATAGTTAAGATTATTTAAATTTTATTGAATTTCAAGACAACCACTTTTTTATAAACAAGTAAGTTTTGGGTATGTATATAAAACATTTACATTTCTGATGGATGAGGCAGTTTAATATGACAAATGTCACCTGGCATTAACATATATTTAAGAAAATTCTGTGTATGATATTCCTTCAAGTCAGAAACCTTTCACTATCTTAGTTTACATGTAACAGTCTCTAACAAGTTTCTAATTGAATAAACTTAAACTGTTAAAGCTGCATGAAATCCTTGTTCATTGGCTACTAAATATTTCCATCACCCCCAAAACTTTGCTGAAGCTTTTCCTTTAAATCTTATGCCTACAAAATTAGTAATTCTTTATTAGATTGTCATGGAAATCTTTATCTATTCTGGAATGTCATGCAAATTAAACTATAGGCTGTTGTGGGGAGGCTGCTTATTCATTTCCTAGCCACCCTGACTCATAGAATAATCCACAGAAATTAGTATTGTTTCAATACTGTTTGGCCAATAGTTTAAGCATATTCCTGACTAACTCTTTTTTTTTCTTACTTAGTTTTTATTCCTAATCATAAACTTAACTCTGCAATCCAGCTAGACTTGAAGGGGAATGAGGAAAATATAGAACCCAAAGAACTTCAGTGAGAGCAGAGATTACAGGGTACTGCGAGCAGATGGGGCTGGGGTGCTCTCCTGAGCTACAGAAGGAATGCTCTGGTGGGTAAGAAGCCCGCAAGTCAAAAGAATTAGAGTTGTCCACAGTCGGAAATGGTGATCTTCTTGCTGGTCTTGCCATTCCTGGACCCAAAACGCTCCATGGCTTCCACAATGTTCATGCCTTCTTTCACCTTCCCAAAGACCACATGTTTGCCATCCAGCCACCCAGTCTTGGTGGTGCAGATAAAAAACTGGGAACCGTTTGTGTTTGGTCCAGCATTTGCCATGGACAAGATGCCAGGACCTGTATGCTTCAGGATGAAGTTCTCATCCTCAAATTTTTCTCCGTAGATGGATCTGCCGCCAGTGCCATTATGGCGTGTGAAGTCACCACCCTGGCACATGAATCCTGGAATAATCCTGTGAAAGGAAGAACCCTTATATCCAAGTCCTTTCTCTCCAGTGCTCAGAGCACGAAAGTTCTCTGCTGTCTTTGGAACTTTGTCTGCAAACAGCTCGAAGGAGACGCGGCCCAAGGGCTCGCCATCGGCCGCGATGTCGAAGAACACGGTGGGGTTGACCATGGCTGCAGCAAGCGGTGAGAGGGGACAGCGGCGTCTGCCTGACTAACTCTTATTATCTTAAATTAACCCATTTCTATATATATTGTATCGCCTCATGGCTGTGGCTTACTGGCAAAGTTCCAGTATATGTATCTTTGGTGTGCATCTACTTGGCTTCTCTCTGATTCTGCCTCCTCTCTCTCTATATATATCCCTTTCAACCTGGCTTTACTCTGTTAAGTCATTGGCTGAAAGCAGCTTCTTTAATAACCAATGGCATTAAAACATATTCACAGCATATATTACCTCTCACAACAATAGGCTAGCTAATCATTTGTAATGGGGTCTTTGTTCAATATAATATTTAGAGAAACCAGAAGTTTTTCACGTATTTCACCAGTTGGTTTGTTGTTATTGTACTAATTATTATTTGTTTCATTTTCTATAAATATGCACAATTCATCAATCACGTATCTTGTTGATGCAGGTTTGTGTTATTTCAGTTTTGAAAGAACTTAGATAAAAACACAAGAAAATTAAAATAATTAAGACAGTATGATCACCATCCAACCATAAAGAAGATAAGTTATTATGTGCTGAACTCAAAGATACGAATATGAAAGAAATGTGGGATGAAGTGTTCAAGTTTGATGGTAAAATGTTTAGTGATATGAAAGAAGATTTTAAAAAGCATAAAAGTACAAGGCAGGGGAAGGAGGAAAATTTGAGTCACACAAATAAAAAATTGTAATGAAGCAGAAAATCAGCAGTGTGGTTGAAAATTAAGCAAAATGAAAATTTAACTAGGACTCTAATATTTTTAATAGTAATTAAAATAATAAAAGTCAGAAAATCTCTAATGGAAAAGACCATCAACAGACTCAAACCAACGGAAAGATTGTCATGAACAGGAAAAATATCAATGAATTGTTGTATTCAAACATCAGCCTAGAAAACAAGACAAAAATAAGAACAAAGTAGAAGTATTATCTATGTCATAATAAGAGCAAGCAGACAAATAATAAGCATAAAATAATATTAAATTAAATTAAAAGAAGATCTAATACTTGTGTATACACATTTACCAAATATTAGCCAATCCCAATTTCATGAAAGAAGCATAATCGCAATACTCTCATTTCAGTGTTTATTACTGTACTTAATGTGATCATCAAATAGAGCCAGTTAACATGCCTGTTAACAGATGAGTGAATAAAAAAAATTCTATGAAATTATAAAATGGACTTATAAGAAAACAGTAAGACATATGTTGGAAATGAAAGAAATAGAAATCATGATGTTAAATAAAAGAATACAAACTCAAAAAGAAAAGTATTAATTCACTTTATGTAGAATTAAATAAATGGATTTTACACAAATGTGAACTGAAAGTATATTCTCATAATCCAGAAAGCAAGAGTTTAAGACAGTAGATTTATAACAGCCAGACCAGATCCAAAAAACAAATGAAAAATAACAAAGGAAGAAAGGAAGGAAGGGAGTATGGGAAGAAGAAAGGGAGAAAAGGAAAGAAGGGAGAGAGGGAAGAAAGGAAGGAAGGAAGGAAGGAAGGAAGGAAGGAAGGAAGGAAGGAAGGAAGGAAGGAAGGAAGCTGCACTGGAAAGAATATGAGTTGAAGGACAGGAGGAATTGCTGAGCTGATATGTTTTGTAGCATCACAAACCTGAGCCTGCCAAAATTTAATAATCCTTGTACTAGGAATGAACACAAATGGCCCCTTTCCTCCTATAGAACTGAAACATATTGATGGAATCTGGGAAATGGGAGTTCACGATCTTTAGTTGGCAACACACTAGCCTATAAGAGTTCAATGGGTGAGATTATATCCAGGAGCCTAGGCTGTTTGGAGGTTCACCTTACTAGACCTGGATGGAGGTGGGTGGTCCTCGGACTTCCTACAGGGCAGGGAACTCTGACTGCTCTTCAGGCTGATGAGAGAGGGGGACTTGATTGGGGGACGGGGAGGGAAATGGGAGGCGGTGGCGGGGAGGAGACAGAAATCTTTAATAAATAAATAAATAATAAATAAAGGAGTTCAATGGGAAGTTCCAATTATGAGTACACATATAACCTTTGCTAAACTCACTGGATGACAAAAAAAAGATATTAATAAGATGAAAGGGTGTGTAAGGAGAACCTTGGGAGAGTGAGGGTTTAAGTAAGGAAATGAAACCTGGAGGGGAGATAGTGTAATCAAATTATGCATATATATAAAACTATCAAAGAACAGGGCATTTTTAAAGCCCCTCCATTTTGATTGAAAATGACAATTCCTAAAACTATTTGTTTACAAGTACTTGAATAATTTGTTTTTGTACATTCTTCCCTGTAATGAAAAATTCTATTTCTCATTTCTTTATTAAATTAAAACAACTTCTGCATTTTTAGAATTTTATAACATAGCTACTCTTTCATATTGTCAAAATTCAGTTCTCTACATTCTAAACAGTAGCCTGGCTCTTTATATTCCATTAGCTTTGTTTCTAATCATTGTCAGTACAATACCTGTTACCCATTTAGCTTTATAAATTATGTTGGTCTCTATACTGCTTGACATTTCATGAAATTTTTGTTTCTATGTGAATATCCATCTCTGTTTTAATGTCAAATGTGTATATATGTTTTGTATTAAAATATGCTGATTTCTACTGAGGCTAAATTGAAATTATAGGTTATTTTAAGGAGAATGAAAATTTTTATAGTATTATAATATGGACATGTATAGCACTACATTTTCTTAAATCTTCCTGAGGATGTTTTGTAATTCACAGGTATGTTAGTCTTTATTCTAAAACACTGCATATTTGTGACTGTTTTACTATTAAGAAAATATTATGTTTAATGGCTCACTGTTAAGAGGCAGAAAAAGTGATTTTTGTATTATAGTCTGACTTGTCATAAATTCATATATACATGTTTGTGTATTAGTTCTATTTGGTTTCAAAATAGACATGTTTTTATAAGCAGCCATGTCATTTTCAAGTGCAGAAGATTTTCTTTGATTATTTAGTCATTATGTGCTTTTCCTTATTTTCTTGCTCTTTGCAATGCTTTTTGACAACAGCAAATTGGTGAAAGTAAGTTTTAAGACAGACGTTCTCTCTTTGTTCCTAATTTTATGGAGATTTTCTTATATTATCCTGTTTAGTAATATCATTTTTGTAGTTTTGAGTGAAGACACTAGAAATAAGCACTGTGCGGTATGAATAAGAAATAACCACTATAGTCTTGGGCATCTGAACACTTGATCCTAAATTGTTGGCTTTCTTTGTGGAGATTTAGAAAGTGTGTCTTTGTAGAAGACAAATATTACTGAGGACAGAGTGTGAAAACTTAAGGGTTTATCCTAGTTTTAGGTTGTCTTCCCTGCTTTAGTTTTATGCTAAAGCACTGAGCTCTTTGAATACTCACCAAGCCACAATGCCTGCTATTTGTTGCTGTGATTGGTACACTAAAATGAACATTCATCTCCTGGAACCAACACCAAAAATTATCTCTCATTCTTAAGTTGCCTTTGGTCATGGAAAGCCAGTCATGTGGTGTCACCTTAATGCTAAAAGCCTGTGTCTTTATCATCTATCTAACAAATATGAAATGCAAGCCATAAGTTGCAACATCTTGCTTAATTTCTTTTAGATCATTGATTCCTACAGGTATCCATCTACCTTCTTTGGATCATTTTGGGTCTTTAGAACTTGATGCTTTGTCAGAGTAGATTGCAGGGTAGGAAGCTAGAACCCTGTCATCTCTGACAGCTGCTGGTGATTTTGAATCCTGTCCTTGTGCCTTCTTTCCCTGTTCATAAGCTCCAATAATTTCATCGATCCTTTCAATTCTTTTTACTGTTGTCTTTTGTAAAGCCTGAACCTCCTGGCCTCAATATATTCCTAGTGATTTCATTGAGGCACCTAGTCTGTGGTCCTCATTCTGCACCTGTGATTTCAAGGTCTGAAGATTCTCCTTTAAAGATAACACCTCATCTTTGAACATTACTTGGATAACTTGCAGATTGCCATTCTGGTATCTGATCAACTATCATAACTTTTTAACAAATTTTGTATGAATTCTTTCAGATACTTACTCAGTACCCTTAGATATAGATTCAATTTTGTCTGTCAAATTAATGTTATCGTTTTCAATAGTATTTTTTTTCAGGTAACTTTTAATTTTTGAATGCTATTAATCCTGTGGATTATTCGTCTGTAAAGACTGTTTCATTTCTAAAAATGCCACATTCTTTCTTAAGGATATAATATGAAGATAAAAACCTGAGTCCCAATCTCCATTAAATTGAATATCACCATAACCATATAAGCCCTGCAGGATTCTATTCCCAGCACCTTAAAGGTATAAATAATAATAAATCATAAACTAATTCTACATGATTTCTGGCGGTGCGTTTTCATTTAACATAATTTCAGCACTCACGAAATTATCTAGCTGGAGCTAGATAAGTTCATAATCTCCTTGCCCAGTGAGATCCTGTCTCCACAAACTGAAGGCACACACCAACTCAGTCAATTTCTGTTAACCACTTACAGGAAATTGGTTTTCTAACCATCCCACAAAGCTCCCGGATTTAAAACAAGGATTATCTGGTACCCAATCCATAGGCTTTTAATGATTTTTTGGGGGGGGGCAGAGAAGAAATGCACTATCAATGTCAGTCACTTTGGTTAAGGTCAGTGCGCATGCTGCTGCAGGTGGACACGATATCAGTTGTAGCTCCATATGGTTTCTGCTTCCCGATACCAGACTGGCTCAGCAGTTCTTGTCGAGGGGGGTCTAGTGATAGATGGCATGTCTAGTCACCAGTTAGATTTGGAGCACAAGCAAATATAATACTAATAGAGACTTCGATAATATTAAAGTTCAAATTTAAAAGCTAAAAAATAGAAATTATGGTTGGATAAAAACAAGTGTCAATATAAATCAACAGGGTTAATTTTACACGTTTATATGAAGGGAAAACTCATTACTGCCATTGGTCAACTTGGATGGCTTCAGCATTGAAATGGTTAAATATAGTGAG